CAAGGGTGTTGTTTGTCGCCAACCTTATTTGAAGTGTTCCTTGAAGAGGTTTTAAAGGAATGGAAGATATGCTGCTCGAGAATGGGCGTCCCGCTACGAGAAGATGGCACCCTTTATACTCCTTGCTTTGCTGATGACCAGGTGGTAATAGCTCAGGACGAAGAAGATGCGAATTACATGACGCGCATTAAGTTAGTGGAAGTATAGCGAAAGTGGGGGATAGAAGTTAGGTAATGTGGTAAAGACGGAGAAGTTGGTTATCGGTGGTGATCAGCAAAGCATTGAACTGGAGGATGGTCGGAAAATTCAGGACTGTGAAGAGTATAAATATCTAGGAGTCGTTTGGTTAACTAAGGACGGACATTTGGATCGGGCCATTAAAGAGCGGAATGTGCCAGGCAGGAAAGCTATCGCGATGCTAAATGGGGTTCTCTGGGACCAGAGTATCTCCAAGGAAACCAAAAGAAAAATTTACAACGTCATCGTGAAGAGTATCGTAACTTACGGGAGTTAGGTCTGGCAACTCAAGAAAAGAACTGAAGACATGCTTAGGGCAACTGAAATGGATTTTTGGCGAAGGTCTGCTGGGATATCGAGAAGAGAGCGTATCCGCAATGAAAAAGGTACGCGAGATAAACTGACACACGGCACGCCGGCGTATGAAAAACCGGACCGGGAAAGTGTGAAAGGCTCCATTCGCGCTAATGCTCCGCGGCCCGGGTCACGATTTTCTACCTGCTCACCGATTCGGGCTGCCGGACGACAAACCGAATAGTGTGAAAGCGGCCTAATGGGTGTGGAGAAGGACGTCGTGCACGATATCAGGTCCAAGCAGTTGGTCTGGTATGGACATGTGCGAAGGACGGCAGATGATCGGTTGCCCAAGAAGGTCTTCGATTGGGTTCCTCCCGCGCGGAAGGCGACGACGGCGTGGACGTCCTATGAAAGGTTGGCGACTGAGGGAGGAGATCAGAAGGTGCCAATTGCCAAAAGAGCGTGGGACACGAGAGGACCGGGGACGGGGCCGGGAATCTCAAGGTCAGGAAATCCGTCCAATCCTTTTATTATATAAATGATGCAGTTTTAATAAACATCTAAATAATGAAAAAAGTAGATCAATTTTTTGAAAGAAAACAGCGAATAACACATGAATCAAATAAAACAAAATTATAGGTATTAAAATTAAGAAAAATACATGTATGAAATGAAATAAAATAAAATAAAATGGTCAATGGATTAATATATTATATAAATTCCCATGTTATATTTATTTTTTTATTTTAATGTATTTGTTTATTTTAGTTTCATTTGTTCATTTTAATATATTCTATTGTATTCATATTTTAATTTTATTTATTCAGTTTAATATATTTTGTTTTACTTACTTAATTTTATTTATTTGTTCATATTCTTTAATTTCGTTTCATTTATTTAATCGATTTCATTTTAAAAATTTATAATTTGATAAACGTATATGAGATTTATTAGGCCATGGAGCATCTTATGGCTATAAAGGCGCACCTTTTGAGTTCAACACGATGATTTATTTTTATTTTATTTATTTTTTGTAAATTATTAAATTTATTTACATTAAAACAATTAAAGAAAACAACAAATAAATAAATAAAATATATTTGAAAAAATTAAATAAAATAAACCAGCTATACGAACTTTTCTGCAAATTATACGTAAGAATATTCACTGAAAGAATGCGAGAACAGAAAGCATTATGACGAAACAAAAAAAAAATTCTTAGCACACTTTAATATCTTTTGACGACTAGGAAATTCCTTCTCAGTCTGCAGAAATTTTTCAAAAATTCTAAGGAACAATGTGTTGGTTATCGCTCAATTTCTTAAAAGTAAATTTGCAATAAAGACTTTGAAACATCGCAAACAAGATATGTGTGTCTTCTCTTCAGTTTCACTGTTGATAGGGTGTCCGCACACCCCCAAGTAGCAGTGATCGCGATAAATAGCGATTCTATCGGTTGGTTATCGCGATTATATTGGTAGCAATGTATCGAGATATTATCACATTAGAAATAGCTATATATGGCGATTAAATCGATACAAATCGCAATTTTTGGTTCGATAAAATCGGGATCAATTTTCGTCGATGAAAATCGAGATTAAATCTGTAGTGTTCTGCCTGCAGCAACCCTGCTCCCGCCACAAATTTAAAAAATCAGTTAGCACTTGCGATTTCCCCCACCAGTCCCCTGCAGGTCGATTGTTGAATCGTTATCGAATGATTCTGATCGATAACTCCCTATCTTCACAATGCTATATATCGATCAAGGTCATTCGATAACGATTCAACAATCGACTCGCTGGTGGAGGGAATCGGAGCTGCCACTGACTGTTTGTTCGAGCTTCGTGCTTCAACGCGTCCGTCCTTAGGATCGTCTTCGTCTCCCTTTGAAATGTGAGTTTCTTTTGTTGAAAACCACCCCTTTTGGGGGTGGTAGTGTATATGTTCGGCGTGAAGGTGTTGTGGGGGCTGGCAGGTCGCTTCGCCACCGAAACCCTCGAGTTCTTCATTTTCTTCATTCTTGTTGGGTTGAGTCAACGTAACTAAACCTTGACTCGCGTTGACTCAACTCCGACTCGCGTTGACTCAACCATAGAGTCGTATTTCGAGTGATTTCAACTTAAAAGTTGAAACCCTTCAAATCGCCATTTATCGTGATTTTTATCTCGAAAATATCGCGATAGAGTGTCGGGCGATAAAAGCGCGATTTTATCGCGATAAGATCGAGGATAATCGCTAAGATTTTGATAATACTCGTTGATTTATCGCAATTTGTAGCAACCTTTTCGTTGAGAAATGCTCTTTTGGCCTATCAAGGTGTCCGCACGGCTACACTGGCAATCGCCGTCCGTAGAGTGCCTTATAACACTTGGATGCTGCAGACATTCGATATTATACTTCATAAGCTTTATACGGTCCACTTGTGGCAAAGTCTGCTGTTGTGTTAGCCTGTTCTCATGGCAGCCCCTCACGGAGAAAGCTATGGCCGCTCCAAGGAAGTAGTGATCACTGCCGCAGGAAAGACCTTTCCACACTCTAACTTGCTGTAGGTACCTTTAAGCTGGTGTCTTGCTTTACTATCACATAGTCGATGACCGACTGTAAACCCCGCGAACCCACGTGAACTTGTGTATGTCCTTGTGTTTGTAAAACCCATTGATCGCTTTCAAACCCAGTGATGCCAGGCGTACGGATTTATCCGTGCCGCGCGGACATTCCCTATACCGACACGGACCGCGTACGGACAAAAACCTTATGGGAAAAACGCTTCCCTATCTTAAAATATCCGTACGCGTGACGTCACAGAATGACGCTCAGCCAATAGCAGCACGGAGAGCGGTAGAGCGTACGGATCTCGCACACGGAGCACCCGGGAACACTGTTCAAACCTCTTTGCTTACAAACGTCAATGACACGAATGCCATTATCATTCAATGTGGCCTCACCGAATGGTCCTACGATTTTACTATTAAACTGACGACCTGTTCTCCCATTTAAGTCTCCTAACACAACGATTTCTCTACTGTGTCCAATATTTCCAATCTCTTCATCAAGCTCTTCAAAGAATTGGTCTTTACCCATTGGAATTGGTCAACAAGAATTGGTCTTGACTCCATACACCCACTATGGTCTGGGGAGTGCCGAATCGTGGCCAAAAATCAGGAAATGATCAGAATATCATGAAATTTGGTGTACCAATGTTTTTTGGGTCGCTGAATTCAAATTTGACCTTAGTTTTACAAAATTCTTAAATCCAAGATGGCGGCAGGCCCTTGAAACCAAAAAATTAGAAGAAAAGCCGAAATATGATTAGAATACCACATTGAATGTAAGTTTAATGTTTTGAAGGTTGTCTAACTATAATGTGAGAGTGGCCCAGGGACCTGGCACCCAAGTCGAGGGCGCTGACAAAAACCCATACGTCACGGGACTGGGCAGCGGTGAAGCACCCCAGCGAGAGGGCAGAGGGGTAGCATCCCTTTTGCGCATGCGCAGGGCGAGACTTGACCGGTTCTGAGTCAAGTGGAGGGGGTAGCCAGAGCCGTAGACCTAGGGAGCTCCTCGGAGCTGGCCTATGGGATTATTCTTGGAGTGACTGGAGATCGAGCGGCACTTGTCCGCTCCTCATCCCATCAACCCAGATTCAAACCGTACATGAATTGTGTGCCCTTGTAGCAATAGACATTATATCACATCGTGATTTTGGTTTCTTCTTTGGTCTTCGCCTCTTCCCGTCTATCCCGCCTGTGTCTGCACTGCCGTTGCGACGAGTGTTAGCTCTGCTCTTGCGACGCCCTGTGTCTGCATTGCATTAGCGACGCCATCGTCAGCACAGTCACAGTAGTCGCGACGCGTGTCTGCACCTGCTCTTGCGACGCCTTGCGTCTGCACTAGCACCTGCGACGCTCTACCCCCCCCCCCCCCCCCCCATCTCACAATATTACATTTTGAGCTACGCCATCTCACAATAATATGAAATCTATTTTTCAATGATCAAGAGGTTACCAGGGCAAAAGCCCCCAAAATACGCATTTAATCCAGAAAAATAAGAGGAGAAGAAATGATTGTAATTGAATCAAGTCAGTACTATGTTTTTCGGTCGATTGATCCTGACTGGAGCGTAAGTTAAAAAACTTGCACACTCAATTAATATGGTGATATTCGTGTTGGCAAGACATATGGTAATAGCCCTGCAGGGCGCCCGCGCCCCCTCCCCGAACCAAAAATTGTCCCTAAAAATTTTCATTTCTAGCGATTTTTTAAAAAGAATTTACTCTTTCATCATCAAACCCTGCTACCAAAATTTTCTAGGTATACTCAATACTACTTAGATCTAAATAGCTTTGACATTCTTATACTCATTGGAGGATGTCAACCATTCTGCGCTGATTTTTCTGGTTAGAATTATTATAAAAATTCTAGGTAAGACAATTACGGTAACTGTTCTAGGAAAAATATACAAGAAATCGGAAAAATACGTCATTAATAGAAAGATAATCTAATGAGAACATAAACAGTAATGTGCTTACATCAATTTAGGGAAGCAAAATTTAAACCACTTCACAAAATAAACAGCTTCTTAAAAAGGAACAATAAATGACAAAAATCGACTAGAAAAAAAAAAAAACAAGAAAGACATATTTCGCATGATAGACCATAACAAAGTTAACATTATACTCATTAATAGAAAAACGATGGGTTCTGAAAAAATGCATCAGTGATATACACAAATCTGGCATAAAAACAAAACTGAGACCTTTTACATCAGAAAAATCAATTACAGGTTTAACAACAATTGAAATAAATTGACTAGAAAAAAATAGGAAAGAAGTCTTCCATAAAATACACACAAAAATATATTTCATCCATCAGTAAAAAATATCAAAAAGGAAATACATGAATTTGATCAAAGAAACTAAAACCTTGCAAAATGAGTAAATTGAGGAAAACATTTATAAGTTAGATTAAATCGATCGGAAAAATTGACTCGGAAAAAAGGAAAATGAAATCTTCTGTGGAGCACTTCTTCCATTTTTCAAAAAGCGTTTCATGCGTTACGTGAAAAACTCCTGAAAAAAATTAATATAAATAATTTGTAAAGTTTTGAGACAGCATATCAATCAGAGACGCGGTATAGTAGATAATTAAAATTACATTTTTCCTCATTAAAATTTAAATGAAGTCGTTACTTGATCGCGAAATTACTCGAGAATGCGATATCTTTATTCCTAGAGAATTTTTCTTTAATTTATTATTTTTTTTGTTATTATATTTATTAATTCTTTTTTTTCGTTTCCATTTCTTTCTAGTACTTTCAGAGACTAGCGCGTGCTTGAATCCCCTTCTTTGTTAGTTTTCACTCAAAGATCTGATCAGACCCTAAACCCTTGCGGATCATTATTCTCGGGTTGCCTAGCCAGGAATTGACCTCGGAACCTCTTGATCTTAAAGCCAGCACTACAACCACTACACCACAGGGGACCGAGTTAATAAATTTGTATATGTATACAGGCTGAAGAAAAAAAATACCTAAGTTTTATCCAGTATTCGTCGTTCTTCCGGAGAAAATATTATTTTGCTTAAAAATGAGGTTTCTTGCAAAAACACTTTATTTTCCGGAAATCTGGCAAGTGCTGGAAAAAAACTGATATCACTTTCGGATTCAGCAGCCAAAAATAGATATAAATCACCCTATATCAAACGTTGACCTTGTCTCGTCTCTCTTATTGGCGCGTATACGTAGTATACCGCCTTTGCGATCGTTTCGAACCCTGCTCGATACAATAACCGAGTCCCTTAGTTCCTTACCGAAAAGTGACTACCGCGAACTTCTGAGATTTTCCAAAGCGTGTAAAAAGTTTATTTATCCGTCAATAATTATGATTTAAAGTTGTTTCTCATTCTGGGGCTCTCTAGTTTATGTGCAGTGAATACCAAGAGTCTACGTTACTTGGTTTTCTTAAAAAAAGCCTAAGAGTACGACGCGCTGATTTAAAATATGCATATATAAGCAGAATCAAGCGAACTGATTCGAGGATGGCTGAGCAGGTCGGCACTCTCGGAATGAGAATTTAACTCCTCCGTTTTGTTCAAAACGTTGCTTTGACAGATCTCCACACCTCTGTTATACTTTTCAAAAGTTGGTACCCGTGCTCTGATAGTGCTGTTCATCTGACAACAATGTCAGTGTCAGCTGATAATAATATTTTTATCATATGAGGTTAATAAAAAGTTTTCAGTCAGTCTTTGACATCCTGAATAATTGTCTTGGTATTTATTTACTAATTTTACAAAATTATATTTTATTTCTTATTAAAACTAAGAAATACAGTGCAATCTGTGTAAGTGCAATCTGTGATGAGCCTCGAGACTCATTAGACCATTAGCTAAACGTGGCTCATACAGGAGTCCACTTACCCCTCTCTTCCCCACGCTCCTGATCACTGCGTCGGCGTCTCGACGAACAATAGATCGTATTCGATACATCAAACGGGTGAGATTGTATCGATATCGATTGGTTCAAAACATAAACATAGCCTCAAAAGTAAATTCAGAAATCTGAGAGAACGGATCTTTTGAAACAGATTTTTTATTCTATTGAGTACCAAATGCCAATGCAAAGTGAAATTGTCAGGAAATTTCTCATTTTCAGCTTTTCCATTTAAATTCCTTACAATTTGGTTTGAGGTTATGTTCTATTGTTTTGAACCAAACGATACATCGAACCGTTATCGAATACGGTCTATAGCTAATGACGGTCGCCAAGCTAGGCCGGGATCCTCAGCCCCTCGCCCAATTACTTACGCTTCATTAACCATTTCACCGTCACGCTAGGATTCGCCCAATTTTCAAAAAAAATTGTTTCGCGAGTTTTTAGCAATTTTTTCCTTACTCTCCGTTGAAACACGAATTAAAAGAGGTCTCATTCATAAAAATCGGCCAAATAGAAGAGAAGTTACAGTATTCGAAATCCGAAGAAATCAACAAAACTTCTCCAAACAAAAAATAAAATGAAGGGGGAAAAAAAGAAATGTATAAATTACAATTTAATATGATTGACCTCAGAATGTGACAAGCAATTCAATTATAAAAAGGAGAAAAAATTGAGTGAAATTACAAAAAATTAGCCTCTTGCAAGGGACTTCCTTGTATGAGTTTTGACCTGAAGACAAGTGAATCCCGTTACATTATTAAAACGAAATTGACTCCATAGTTTAATGCCTTAGTTTCTTGAATACGATTAGTTTAAGCTCTCGAAAATTTATACCAGCAATTTTACCCATGGGGCGATTTCCTGAGAGCTGATAATATCACGAATTTCTCATAGAGCCCTTCAAAAATGGCTTGCTTTTTGGGCAGCCGATTCGGCCATCAAACCGGGGTTTAAATGGAAGCTGATAATAACACAAAGCTCTGAGAAAAATTTTGAGATGAGTATAGGAACGGTTTGTAAATTACGAGGAGAGGCGGGCATTCTGTTCAGCATATCGATACATAAGTATTTTCACACGTAGAATTTAATTTTCACGTCAGGGAGTCGACATATTTTGATTTTTTCGATTTTATACGGAAAATGTATGGTTTTTCGGGATTGAAATTACTTACAATTGTTTCATGAAAAATGAATGCACCCAAAATGACTATAGCATTTTGACTTTCACATACGTGCACTCACTAAATTGATTGGTAAATTCAAAGAGTGGGTACATCGACCTGGTATATCAAGTTTATGCAATTTTTCACGGCAAATCGGTAGATTTTCGGGATGTGGATTGCTTACTTTCAATTCATGAATGAATAAAGCATGGACATGGTTAAGCTTCTTTGCATGAAAAGACGTTTAAAATAAAAAAATCAAGACATATTTAATACAATTGCATTTATATCGAGTAAATCTCTTTTCAATAATATAACGGGATTTATGATACCGGTGATTTGGGTATTTTAGCCCCAAAATACCTTTAAATCGACTTTATCTTCTAGGAGTTCGACAGAATTTTTCCTTTCTTCGCTTAAATTTTTCCTTAGCACTTTCCTTCAAGACTCTGATAAGATTTTGCTTGAGGCAGATCAAAAAACTTAAATTTGTTCGAATAGCTTTCTAGATTCACAATACACGGTCTCGTCAAGGTGCGTCGTTGACCTTGCACTGTTGGATCGTGAATTCTCTTGTTGTGCTGCTTGCCTTTTTTGAAATCTCTGTAAATGAAAACTAAAGGGGTTGATATGTGCGAGTTAATGACGCGCCTTATCAACACATTGTGTTGGAGTTCACTGCTTGTCTTATTCTGCAATGAAATCAGATTGCGCAGAAAATCGTATAAGTCCTTCACTAAAATGACCAAAAAAGGCCCCAGACGCAAAAATACGCAAAAAAAAACCTGTGATATCCTGTTAGAGGAACATATGAGCAACATTTTTGCACAAATGAGAACGTGTTACCTCGTGTTAGTGATAACTAAAATTTTAGGTGAATGCAATTTTTTGCCTAAATTAGGACAAAACTTTGGAGTCTCATGGTGATCATAAAATTAATCATAATAATAAAAACGATTGCCCATCAAAAAGTACTTACTTTCACCTTTCTTTTCCATATTTGATCGGGGATTTACGCCAACTTATCACAAAACGACACAAGGCAAGACACTATAACGGGAACTTTAAATTCTCACGTTTGTTTACTTACCTCGAGGATGTGAAGTTCGCCACCATGTATCTGATCGTAAAAACAATTACATAAGATTTGATAGGTCATTTCACACCTACTAAAGGATGTAGATAAGGATTATATGCTCGATTGCCAGATTTTCGTACTTTCAAAAATCGGATTTTTGGCCACGATTCGGCACTCCCCCGACCATAATGACCTCTAGCACAGTCATCATACAATGTCCAAACACATCCGGATCATACAGGGGCTAATCGCTTCCCACGTTTTCACGCACTTACGCAGACTCTTCCGGACAAGGATCGCAACACCCTGCTGAGCACGTTGGTCCTTTGGCACGCCACTGTAAAACAAATCGTAATTTCCAATACTCTCAGATCCTCGCCCTTTCTTTTTTGCTTCTGTCAACACAGCCAAATCCACATCGCGACTTTCTTTATCTCCGACACCACTTCCGTCAATTTTTTGGAAATGCCTTGCACATTCCAAGTTCCAAATAAAAGGGTCCGTTTCCGTAACTTTTGTCAATTTTTCCGTAAAATTCCATTGATACCGGAGGCTCGATTGGGGGTTTTTGACAATTTACTTTTTAAGAGTTTCGAGGAGACAGCCCAATGCCTCAACCCCCGACCTGGAGGACCAGAGTTTGCTTTCAGAGTTGCCTCTCCTAGACAGGTTGCTTTCACTGCAGCTTAGAGCCCTGTCTGCCCTTCCCTTGGGTGATTCCTACGCCTAAAAGCCGGTGACCAACTCCAAGCCCCCTTTAAGGCAGGGGCTACCAGCTGGGGTCCGCAGGATTCCTAAACCTGTGACAGTTAAGTCCCCCGTACGGGCATCGCATAAATCGCATTTACCGTTTACTTATAAACAGTAATGGATATGTTGCATGAGTGAGGAATTTGCCATTTGACTGTTGTTTCTTGTGTAAAAATTCGCGAGAAACACAATGGCACCACTAGTTTTCTCTGAAATCAACTCCCAAGCTCAAAAAAAGCTCTCAAGTTGAGGCCAAAATAGAGGGGATATCCCACGCTTTCCTGAGAGTCCACCTCCACACCAAAACAAACTCCCCATGCAAACATAGGAGCAAATACATTGACAGGGCTGCCACTTTATTTTGGGACTCCAAAACTGAAAACACGGCAACCCTGCTAATGTACTTGCTCCCTATCTTTGCATGGAGAGTTTGTTTTGATGTAGAGGTGGACTCTCAGGATAGCGTGGGATATCCCCTCCATTTTGGCCTCAACTTGAGAGCTTTTTTTGAGCTTGGGAGTTGATTTCAGAGAAAACCAGTGGCGCCATCGTGTTTCTCGCGAACTTTTACAAAAGAATCAACAGTCAAATCGCAAATTCCCCACTCATCCGCAACATCTCCACTAACGTAAGTGCCCTTCTTACGCTGTTTGCCGCTAAACTGTTTTTATGAAAGTTCCATTCATTGGTTTCCTTGATAACCTTTGTTTGCTATCAGCTGATGTTTTATTTCCATTTCCCGGCCAAGTCACCGGATTTTATACTTGCTGTTTCTTTTTTTTTCAATAAATCATTGCTAGGTTATTTCTAATTTTTTTGCCAGCATTTATTCTACCTCCTCCGCCCCTCCCAGCTCATTTTTCAAACTCCCGCAGCCACACCCCCCCCCTCTATTTATTTATATTTTTTTATGGCATGCCTACCTCCCCTACCACCATTTTTTCAAGGGTTCATTCATAGGGATAAAATAGTGTATTGTATATCGAGCTTCGATGTAGCGTTCGATGTAAAGCAGGATAGACAGGGATGAAACGAAATGTATTGATATTAACTGGGGAAAGGGGGAAAGAAAAGGGGAAGGGGGATCAGTGTGAAAGAAGAAGAAGAGAAGAAGTGTGTTAGGGTCATACACGAGATACTCAACGGATGCAGGTGTGATGACAAAACTGTATTGCGAGATACCAAGTCTGACATCCCCGGACAGCTAGGCACAGTGCTGCCTCAGGTGGCAATGTATAGAAGTACTTAACCTAACAAGAAGAAGGAGAAGAGAAGAAGTATTTATAAGATATGTCCTATGTCTAGACAAAGTCTGGAATAAAAAGCTCATTAACGGCATATGGCGTAGTTTTATTATGCGTATAAGAGCTACTTCATTGTGCTGTGTTAAAATCTATTGCTTTAGCGCAGTTCTAGACTTAATGCTTGATTAGATGTTCAACTCAAGCACTGGCTGTGAGTGAGTGCTTCGTGTGAGAGTGACTTGAATATCAATTGCATGACAAAATCCGGAAAAAGAGGAAAAAAGGGAATCTGTGAGAAAATACGAATGTGCCTGAGAAAACACAAACTTTCCTGTCTTGCCGACAACCTAACTAGTTTGAGAAGTAAAGCGGCAACGCAGCGGCAGCGGTGCTATGGGACGTCGCGTCGTGAGTGCGCGTAATCGGGCTCGAGCGTTCCTTGGTCATGAACTACTCCGACCTCCAGCGCTGACGACTGAGGGTTACGTACCCACAGAGGGGGCCTGAGGTCTGTTGTATATGGTGTGCGACCAGAGACAAGAGACCCTCCACTAGTATCTTGGCCATGGTGGAAGCTTTTACTTTCGGGACTTCAGCATTCTACTGTTGAATTACCTACATGGTTGATGTTCAACAACGTGTTGGCAGTTTCGTTTTGCAAACAAGCCGAAAATGGCCGACGTTTGGGAAAGTTGTTTGGCTCATGACGTCATCCGAAGCTCATCACTGACCATGTAGGTAAGTCAACAGCCGAAACTAGGGTGATGACTGTTGCTCCCTAATAATTGTCTATAAGGAATTGTTGAAACCCCGAAAGTAAAAGCTTCCACCTGTCGCTAGGAGGCCAGTGGAGGGTCTCTTGTCTCTGTGTGCGATACTACCTGTTCGTGTGGACACCACCAACAAACTCCAATCGCCAACCGAAGCAAGATTCCATTCGGCAACTATTAACAAAACAAGAGAGCAACCAGTTTCCGGAAGCCAGGACACTTGAATCGGTCGACACAAACTGAATATGTCCAGAACCCCGCCCGGCGTGGAAATATTCTTACAGACCTCAGAGCTCAGAAGAAAATCCTTTTACCATTTTTCATTGATTTGATTCCCTACGTACGTAGTTGTACGTAGTACCTTGGTTGTGACCTGGCTAATTATAGGAGGCTCCTCGTGTTTTTATTTCGTTATTGCTCATATACAGGGTGTTCTAGATCACCCGCACCCGTACCTTTTTTTTCTCGGTTTTAATCGCAAGTCGTACGAGGTCAGGGTCTTTGAGGTTGATTAAGGAATCGACCCCAAGTAATTCGGATTGCATCGTCCCGAACCGCTGCCCCCCCCCACTCCTTCGGGGGGTAAAATTAGAGATCTCGACCCTAAAAGTTGGGGTTCCCGACCGAATTTCGTTTCAATTGCATTAGTAATAATGAAAAATACGGAAAATTTCACTTGAGATTGACCCTTAATAATCCAAAATTGACCCACCCTGGGCCCATAATGATCTCCTAAAGAGAGTGGCATTTTTTAACTCCATAATTACTCTTTGGTTGCACAAATGACGTAGATTCCACAGATAAAGCTTGTAACGAAGGTAATCGACCCCCAAAGAATCCTATAATATCGTGGACCCGAGGCCACATTATCATCATTAATCATCGACTTGCAGAATATACTTTCTCGTGTAGAGTATGCTTATAAAAATTACCTTTCAAACCGTTTCAAAATGCAATGGAGTATTTAAAAACAGCTTTTTTAACGTAACCTCTGAAAAGGAGATTATTTTTCATCTGTTTCTGGAAGTAAAACCATAATAATTTTTTGGAAAAATTAATCATCGACTTGCAGAATTTCCTCGTGATAGAATGTAGTCATAAAAATGTTTGTTGATCATTCAAACCGTTTTAAAATGCCATAGAGTATTTTAAAGCACCCTTTTAGCTTGTAGATTGCCATTGATTTCACACAACATATTGCAAGAATAAGGACGTTCATGGACACAGTCAACCAATCACCTAGGTACCTAACTCCATTTCACCCTATTTTACTAGTTTGGTTGACGAACACCAAATTTCTACAATCAACCGCCAGGAGTGTGTAAGGGTAGTAAGTTGAATGTAATGTTTCTACGCCCGTGAAATTCCCCCGTTCTTTGCCCGTGAATGTTAATGAAAATAAAGGATCTATTTAGTAGATGTCCTCAGTAGCCTCTGGCGTCTCCTGGATTGAACGATACGTTTTTGGAGATGACTATACCTCCAGCTTTGAGTGCCAGATTGAGATGCTTGGAAACACACTTATTAGGGTGTTCCGTTTTCAGGCGACCATCTCAAGACCTTGCTCTCCGGGCTTTTTCCCATTCTTTTTAGTCCCCAAAAGATACTTCTGAAGTTTCAGCACCATAGCTGAATAAGTCTACACTTTCCCCCAAAGCGATGAAAATTTCGGAGGCAATTACATAGGTTTAAATGGGGAGAAAATTGGCCGATTCGCGGAACTACGTTTTTCGGCTGTAAAATGCGCTGAAATGATTTCAAACCTGGCCATCTCTTGGGAAGTTATTCAGAGACTTATTTTGAACGAGAAAATTTCACTTTTGAACCAGAGATGGGGTCAGGGTGGGTCACGGCGCAGTTAGTTTTGAGGCGCTGCGCGCAGCAAAATGATCGCATTTGACAGTTTTTCATCAACCTCAAAACAGGTCCTCCGAAGCTGAGGAGGCTAATATATCTCATAAATGTAATAAAATAATGTACAAGAGTTGTTAGCGTCCCTTCAGAACTATTTTCGACCATGTACAAGGTTGGCAACCATTTTGGATTTTTAGGGATCAATTTCACGTGAAATTGTTCGTACTTTTCAATTCTATTGCTATCGAATCGAAATTAGATCGAAAACCCCAACTTTTAGGATTGTTACCCCCCCCCCTTTATCCCCCAAGGGACGCTAGGGGGGTCTCAAGACCATGAAATTCAGATTTCTTGGGGCCAATTCCCTATTCAACCCCGCGGTCTCCGCGACTTCGTTCGACCTAAGTCAACCGAGAAAAAGGCCTGGTACGGGTGCTCTGGGACACCCTACACACCGCAATTTTTGGCTCAATAAAATCGCAATCCATTTTCGTCGGTAAAATCGAGATTACATCGCCATTTATCGAGATTTTTATTTCGAAGATATCGCGAAAA